CTTTCCACCCCCTCACTTTATCTATCGGTCTACACCTGTGCCTAGCCCCCCACCCCGTGTCTGTCTGTCTGTTGGTGTTGTCACCGGCTCCTCACCCTTCCTTTTCTTTTCCCCCAAAGCTACGAGTAGACTCGCAAGTCAAGAAATAAATAAGTGAAGTATATGCGCAAAAAAAAATGGATATATAAACGCATCCTCCCGCTACCCCCACCACCCTCCCTCCCTCTCTCTCCTCTCGCCGCCCAACAACATGGAGGAGAATATGTGTGTTGTGTGTGTGGTCCAAACAAAAAAAAAAAAAAAGGATTTGTGAATGCCAATCAGCTAAAAGCTTCGCCGTTTTCTTGCAGCTTTCGTCCGTTGGAATGACTCCACATCTCACCCTTGCCCTTTGTTGTGTTCTCCTTTCTTTTTTTCTTTTTTTTTTTGCTACTCCCTTGAAAAGGGGGATGGGGTCTTTAATTTGTGCGGGGGAAGGAAGGGATTGGGGGAAGGATGAATGAAAGTATGCGTACGCCCCCCACTCTCCCGGGACTCACGCATAAATGCGGGTAAATACATGTAGACGCATTTGAACTTTTTCTTATGGCATATCCCCCCCACTGTCTATTCCTCTCTCTCTTCTTTTTCATTTTTGAAGTTGTCATCATTATTTTTTCCCTCCATTCACCCTCTTTTTTCTTTTCTTTTCTTTGGCTTCACTCAGCGGCCGTTTCTGCCCGCACTCAACCCCATCCTCACGACGGACGCAAAAAAAAAAAAAAAAAAAAACATTGAGGAAACAACAAGAGAGGAGGAGGGTTGGGAGGAAAGGAGCGTGATGACAGACCCAAGTACACACACATGCACATAAAAAGGCATATATAACAGCAATGATAATTCATAATGCCAACAGCGCACAATTGAACGGCATGCAGGAGAAATCTCCTCCCACTCTTCATACTTTTTTGTTTTTCCTTTTCACTTCCGGCCATATTGCCCTTCTTTTTTTTCTTCTCTTCGTTGGAAAGCGGTCGGCTTATGCGTCTTCACATGTTATTTGGAAACTGCATTTGATACAGCTTCTGCTGGAGATCGCAGCTACTCGTAAAGGCGATCACAACCCCTGCGGCTCGGCTGGAGCGTACCAGCATGCGTGTGACATTCCCCATGTCCACGGAGTCCACGAAGCAACGGCATGGCCGCTTGAGGCTGTCAATCACCTCCAGCTCCACATGGTCCTCCTGGTTCAGATGCGTCGGCCGCCACTGCGCCGGGGACACGACATTGCTGCCCACGATTTGAATCAACGGCGCCCCGACCGGGACGGGCGATGCGCCGAGTGCCTGACAATACGCCGTGCTGCCAGCCGCCGTCGATACCAACACACCGTCGCCACGCAACAAATGGATGCGCTCCTCGCCATTTACGAGGATGCGGATGAGGGCGGTTTGGCCACTGGATCGCTCAACCCAGGCATCGTTGAAGGCCAACTCGGATAACAGCACCTTCTCCCCAGTCTCTGTCTCCTTTTCGGCGAGGCAGTAGAGCATGATTGTGGTGTGCAGCTTGAGTGGGGCAAAGAAGAGCTCGCCCAAGGTGGAGGGGTCATTCAGCAAGTAACCAACGTGCCCGGCGTTCACACCAAAAAAAGGAATAAAACGGCTCCAGTTATTTCGAATGCAATGCATCATGTAGCCATCGCCGCCGATAGGCACAATAAGATCAGGTTCCTCATCAGCGTTTGCCTCAAACACACTAAGTTTCTCGTAATATTCGCGGGCAAGGATATTGTTCCTGTCATAGTGCAGCTCCAACCTTGGTATGAGGCCGGGGAAAGACAAAACCGCAGCGGGACCGATTGCCTGTACCTTGCCTCTTCGCCACGCAGTTGTGCTGCTCATACTACTGCTACTACTAGTATTGCTGCTAGCACCAATATGTTGTACCTGTGTCAGCTTCGGGTAGTTGTCTTTGCGGTAATCGTGATAAAGCCCATGACTATTGATATAGCGATATACCGGCTCTGTAAGCAGCAGTGTTGGATCCACTTCACGCTCCCAGAGCGCCTGACGTACATCTGCCCCGGTGCAACGGTGAACGGTGTGCACCTCAACATGCGGCGGCGGAGCGTTGGTGGAACTACGACCGTGACCTCCCTCAATGCTCTGATGTGTAGAAAAGAGCTCCTCGACGAGATGACGAACTTTGCGACGAACCGGCATGGTATCATATGGCATGTTCATGGTATCAATCTCCTCTTCTTTGCCCTCTCTCTCCTTCATCTCCTTCGCTGACGACGGCCGACTACTGTTATCTACGGTGTGGTTTGGCTGCGTCTCCGTGCCACTCTCACTCATTTCCGTCTCACTCTCCCCATTCATTTCCCCGGCATTACTATGACCTCCGCTCACGCTGCTGCTAAGATCAGCGTCTTTCCTCAAGATGTAGTCCGCATCCTTCTTGCCATTCTCACCGTTGCTAATTTTGGATAGTTCTGCTTGTTCAGATGGCTGCAACAATAAAGGGACATTATCCGAAGATGCCAACCACGAAGAAGTTGAGGAACTTATGTACGATCGACTAATTTCCACCTCCTGCTCGCCATAGCCCCCATTTACCCAACGAGGCGAATTGACAAAGTTACCACCTCGGTTGCCAATAATTGCACCCTTGTCGTGTTCGTCGTGATTGCCACCATTACTTATAGGGACAGACGCGGCATCTTCCGTCTTCTTTTCTTGCCGGGGCTGTCCCAACGGTTGCTTTTTTGTGGACGCCCTGTCTGCCGCCAACAACGCCCCAGAGCCACCAGGAAAATACTTCCCAATAAAGCGTGGATCGCGCGGCTTACCCACCATACTGACAGGGAAGCTTACCGTCTGCAGTAGCAACATTGGTACGCGTAGCTTCACATCGCCAAAGTGGGCCCACTTCTGCATCTCATGTGCGTCCTGCAGCCAGTGCACCAGTGTGCTGTTCCTGTACTTCTGTGTCAACTCGTACACGCACGGCATGTCCTCATCTGGGTGCTCAAGCGCGGTAAAGTCCACGTGCACTCGGGAAAGACCACGCGTGACAAGAGTTGTCAAGGCAGCAAGGTGTGTAGAGAGACGCAGGGTGACGGGAAATCGTGTGTTGGGAACCAAAATGAGGTGATCGAATGGCACGCATTCGCTGCTCTTCAAACTCTCCGCAAGAGACTCAAGGCACCAGAGTGAGCCCGCAAGCTGGCTGTTGGCGTTGTTGTTGTTATCATGGCGGTAACCATCACCACCCCCATAAACAGCATGGCTGCCGCTGCTGCTGACATTCTTGTGATCAAAGCCTCTTTCACCAACCAGCAGTCGGAAGATCTCCCGATGCTGAACTGTAGGCGGATCCAAGTGCAGTGGAAATATGCCGACGCGAGAAATTTGCGGTACACTGTAGCAAAATAACGGCAACACCCGACGGAGCATCGTGCCGTGGGACCAACAAGTCTAAGTGGATGTGGATTTCAACAGAGAAGATTTCACAGCCCTTCCCCTTCACTCCCCCTCTGTCTGACACACACACACACAGAGAGAAAGAGAAAAAAAGAAAGAAACAGGAAATAATCCACCCACCCACTTGTTGCTGTGTAATCAAAGCCTTTGCCGCGTTGAACGCAAAGGCGGTGGTATCTAACTCAAGTAGTCCCAATACCAAATAATGGAACGCAAGGGGAATGAGTGCAGTGGGAAAATGAGAGACACCCGCATATACACCACAAAGAGCTACAGGCAAACGTCAAGCACAAGTACAAGGTGAAAGAGAGAAAAGTAAGAAGATGCAAAATAAAAATAAAAGTAGAGACCACAAAGGCACAAAAGCAAAGATGCCGGGGCAACCCGTCAAGGCAAACAGAAAGGAGGCAAGTTTACATCATTCATCACCCAAAAACACACCGCTGGCGTAGTTCGCTGACATGCCAATAAACGTGACGCCAATCAGCATCACAGTGAAAGCGGCAACGTCGCTGTGCCCACCGATTTCCTAAGAAAAACTCAACAGCAGAATGGCCGTAACAGTCAGCAAGGAGACCACCGCCACGCAGATGTCGCACGAGAGGCGCTGAAGCACAAAGTTGTTAAAAACACTTGAGACAATCCCGAGGAACTTAATCGCAAATGTGATCACTGCCAAGTAATCATCCATGCCGTAGTTTTCGACGGTGCTGTCCAACCCAGCAAGCAACACCAGCGTGAACAGCAGGTAAAGCAGTAAAACCAAAGTAATTCCAATTCTCGAGTAAATGGACCAACCCAATGTTCATGGCCAGCTCACGCTTCTCCTTCAAGAGTGTCGTGATGTAGCGGGTCGCCTCGCAAAATTCATTGGACTCGCCTTCCATCACGCTATTCTCCAGATTCCTACGCTCAGCGTTCACCGCTCCCACATCGTCAGTCTTTTTCTTTGGTGCGAGGCAAGAAACTCCATGGCCTCATTCAGCCGCTTCTCCTGCACCAACCGCGCCTCTTCGAGAATGTTGTGGAACACCTTCACATACGAGGCAATGCAGCTCGCTTCGCGCGTTCCATCTCCCACCAGACGGTCCGAGGCTTCAGTTGATGCCCCGAAGCAACAATGGTTTTCCACGGCGAGTCCTTCCAGCTCACCGTGGCCTTTCACACGTATTCATTTCCCTTGCCATTTCTTGTAATTGCCTAGTGTCATCGTTCCAAAAGTGTAGCCCTTGCAGGGTGAATAAATGTGTTTTTCTCTTGTCTTGTGTATTTGTATAAGCTGCCCCTGAAGATGCATATATGTATATAGTAGTTCCCGTCTCTATTCTCCTATTCTCTTTAGCGTTTGCTTGCAAAAAGAAGAGGGTTGGTTGTGTCGGAGAGTGTAAGTAATTTGCGTTACCATGATGAGCAGAAATTGAAGCAGTCCTCACCCAGAGGTGCAGCATGATTTAGTGGGGTGCGCAAATCGTACAGTAATTTCGACAATAGATAATCCTCTAGATACTCTTCATGAGTTCTGGACTGAGCACGTTAGATTGGAAAGAGCATGTCTTCATTGCCCGGTGCGTTAATAAGACGAGACGGTGGGGGCGCCACATGACGCGAATGCACCCTCTCTAGTTGCACCGTATGTTGTTGCATGACGCCCAACCTGGGTCCCCCACGATGATCGTACTGGTCGGGCCCAGGATAAAACCCTCCACACATCATGTAGTCCTCTTCGGATTGAGCAAATTGCGGTTGTCTACGCGCTGCTGGATATTTAGAAATGGTTGGGAGTTTGAAGGATCTTTCCTGGGGCTCGGTGAAGGTGGAGAACGGTACAAGAGGGACATAATGACTCCGGAGAAGACTAGCGTACCGCGCCCGTCGCTGCCGGTCCCGCTCATTTGCCCGCCGTTCATTGTGCGTTCCTTGCGTTTCTACGGGTGACTGTGTGGTTTCGCCCTCATATATCGATGGTGGTGTGACGGGCAAAACGACGAGGCGGTGGACAAGCCGGTTGGAATACGGCAGACATCCCGCCCCACGCCTGCGCTCAATTTCTTCCGATGACGGTGGATCGTCGTTGAGCCGCGTGTGAATGGCATCGCTGCCGTAGTGGGATTGAACAAGTGCCATGTGATAAAATTCAACTTTTCCCTGCGTATCCGCGCCGCCCAACGTTTCCCTCTGAATGTTCCCCTTTTTTTTTTCGTGTTTGTCAACTGTGCCGCCGCCCCGTGTGCGTGGGTGTGTAATGAAGACAGACGTCACCGAGGCGTGGGAGTATTCACTGCCCACGACAACTGTTTCTCTCCGTTTCTTCTTATTTTCTTGTGTGTGTCCCCTCTTCTGCCTGAGCAATTGAAATGCCAACCAAAAAAAAAGAGCTGAATCACCAGGCGGATGGAATGGGGGAGAAAGACATTCATGCACCCCGCAATTAACACAAGGAATTTTTTTAAAAAGCCTCCGCCCTCAACAAAAAAAAACACGGATTATTTTGTTTTACTTCTCCCCCGTTCAGTTTCTTCTGTAACGGGATAAAAGGCACAAGGAAGCAACCATACATGTGCCATATAAAGATCACGTCAACAACAGTCAACAGGAAAGCACAAACAAGAATGGGGAGAACACAAATTGGAGGTGGCGAGGGACACACGGAACCGAGGCGACCAAAAGGAGCAAGAGCAATGCGCACATAAACAACAAGAGAATAAAAAGCACGACCAGAAAAAGAAAAGAATTCTCAGCAATCAGAAAGTTGCTAATGTGTGACTCGTTCTGAATTCTCCAGGTCCACCTCTTCCTCACACTCCAAAACCGTCTAAACTCTTCACATATATTTTGTTATCTCCGTGTTTTCTCTGAGTTTTCCTCCTTCGTTGTTTGTTTTTGCTTTTTCGTACATTCCAGCGCTCTTGTCCCCACACACAAACGCACATACACACACCTAGAAGGGACTAAAACAAGTCTATACATAGAGGGAAAATGCTCTTTGCACCGTACACATTGACTGTGCAAAAAAAACAATGGTTGCAACACCGATACCCTGCCTTTTATTTTACTGGCTTTTATTGTTGAAACGTCATTGGTGGCGTTGCTCGGTACATCACATGATGCGGGGAACTGGCATGGGTGCGGTTTCATCTTCGGAAGAAGAAGTACTTGACAACATCATCTGCAAAGCCTCCTCTGGCAAGCGCACCGAATCCTTTGAGATGTCAAGGACGGAGGAAACGTAGTAGCTGGGCCGCCCAACTGCCCGGGTCTCGCTGGCATCCATGGGCCTCTGGGCTGCCACCCACATTGCATCAAAGAGTGGGTGGTTCTTCTTGCCATCCGCCTCTGAGAAGCACCCACTGCCCGCTTTATGCCGTTCAGCATCGCCCAAAAGAGAAATTTGTCCTGTCGGATCATCAACCAGGTATTTCCCCGCTCCCCCACGTTGCTGCCGCTGGTTCTCCTGAGGTTCGGCCAACAAAATGTACTTCACTTGCTCGTACGTAGGCTCTGCCGTTGGCGTACCCAACTTGTACGCACCGTGAATTTGAGCGTTTACATTTTTACCGTCGTCACGGGTCCTTACCGAGGACCCTGAAGCAGGACCATTTCGCGCCGGTGCTTTCCCCAGGGGCGGAAGTTTTGGGGATGCCTTTTGGCCCCGGGCTAGCTCCCTGGACTCTGGGCGTGCCTTGCTGGGTGGGGTGATCCTTCCTGGAGTCGATCTCCGAGCCTTTTTGCCGCTTCCTCCACCCGCCGACTTTGGTTGAGAGCTAGACGGTGCCTGCTGGTGGGTTGACGGTGATTGTTGCTGAATGTTCGGTGTCGGCGTATAAGCTCCTGGAGCCTGGTTGTGGCTGTCCGGCCTCGGCTTGGAACTGGATGGCATCGACCTATAAGCCTCCTGCGTCGGGTTGTAGCTGGATGGAGTCTGGTTGTAGCTGTCAGGTTTAGACTTGGAACTGGATGGCATCGACCTGTAAGCCTCCTGTACCGGGTTGTAGCTGGATGGGGGCTGCTGTTGTACTGAAAGAATTTCGTGGTAATTGCTCGTGGATTGTTGGTGAGTCAATGAAGGCGGTATCCTCTGAAAATTGGGATCCGAATGGAATTGAGTGGACAACGCAGATCTCGCGGTGGTGTTTTTCTTCCGCTGTTTGGAAGGGGAATCCTTCCAAGGTGCGGGTGCTCGAGAATTGGATGTCATCCCCACGTAAGGGTTGCTTCCCAAGTTGCAGCCATCATCCGGGTTTGACGGATCCATTGGGTCGTAGTTGGGCGGCAGTGAATACAGGAGTGGGTGCGGGTTGCCGTAGAGCTGCCCAGCCCTCAGGAGAGTTCCGCTCAGCGTCATACCGCGCAACACACGCGGCATCTTTTTTCTACTCTTGTCACGGAAAATTACATCTACGGCGCCGGGGTATGGCGTGGGGTCCAGGCGCTCCGTCAACTTCACTCCATTAGTGGCCTCCCCGCAGAACGTGATGGTGAGGTCACGGTGAAACTTGTCCTTCGCACGACGTCTTGATTTGCCGGCACACTGCTGCAGGTATCTCTCCATATCGTCCTCCTCATCACGAGGATCAACCGGTCGCGGTGGCACGGTGAGCATCGTGTGGTGTTGTTTGTAGACACCGTAAGAGCGTAGGACGTCCCGCACAGCGCGGTATGTCTCGGTTACGCTTTTTGTCATGGGGTGGTCATTGCCAAGAAGCTCATGCGTTGCACGCATCGCATTTTGAAAGAGGACTGCAGCATTGCAGTGCTCAGTGGGATGCTTAGTTAACTTCGCCGTGTTGATTTGCGCAACGGCCAGATTGTGCCAGGCGGCACCCCAAAGCGCCTTGTTTTCAGACTTGGCGACCTCAATTCCGGTCCCTTGCAGCGAGTAGCTGCCGCCTTCAGCAACCGGAGGTGTGGACGTTTTTCCTTTTTCCTCTTGGATCGTCAAAGTGCGCAGCATGTCGATGGTCTCTATCGCGGCGGCTGTCGCCTTATCGTACATTCCCAGTGCGTTGTATGCAGCACAGGTGTTGAGCGCAACAGATGGTGAGGCCGAGCCCCATTTCTCCTCCAACTGTCGCGCTGCCTCAAAGTGACTGAGTGCCTGGCGATGCTGACCACGGTGACACTCGACAACACCGAGGTTGTTAAGTGTCGTGGAGCGCAGTGTGTCCATTAGCCGTTCATCGCCGCTGGACACGTGGTTGTGCAGTTTCATGTACGCATCGCTAAGAATAGTGGTGGCATACTCCAATGCCTCCGTATTGCACCGCTGCATTGCAAGCGTGTTCATCGCCAGCACCTCATGCAGGAGCTCATCGTCGCTCGGTTGTGCCGGCTGCTCCTCACTCGCCCCCTGTGACACCGAGGCATCACGACGCGAACTGTCATCTGCGACGCTTCCATCTACGCGAAATTCAGGCGGCGGCGCCACGTCCTGCGTTTTCCCTTTTCGGTTTTCCTTCTCCATTGCTGTTCCCCTTCCTTGGAGCGGCCCTTAACAAAATATCGTTCTCCTCGTCCTGTCCCCGCACTTTGCCTGGTAATGATACAACCGCCACAGCTAATACTGCCACTGCTACCAGCGCTACCGCTGCCGCAAATAGTACCCTTTTTCTTCCTCACGAGGGTGGGGGATACGGGGGAAGAGGACAGCCAAAAATGCACAAAAATAATGGGGAAAAAAGAATGCAGCGGGACGTCACGCAGTAATAAACAAAGAAAGAAAGCGAGACGCTGCGGAGACAACAAACAAACAGGGGAAAAACGGTTGGATAATGCAGCACACCACCGTTCGTCTATATTCATCTTCCCGCCCACATAACTACCCAAGTGCGTATCTACCGATGCCTACTCCAACGATCATACAGGCCTCATGAAAGTAATGCATCTTCGCATAAGGATAAAAGAATGTATGTAAACAAGAAAAAAAGAACATTGGCCCTTATTTCTCTCCCCCCCACCCCGTCACGCAACAAACAAAATAAATAAACAAATCAAAGGTATCAACACTTGTAAAAACGGATGCTAAAGACCAAAGCTCAAAACGGATGTATTCAAGCCCTGCAGTCACGTCTCTCACACTACCATCTATTCTTATTCGCCTCTAACATAAACACATCTAATTGAGTCACAAACACATATACACGGACGCACAACGTATAAAAATATATAGCAAAATGTCACATCGCTGAATAGCGTGGGCTCACGTAACGCCTCCGCCGGCGCCCTGGAGACAATGAAACGGAGCCCTCGTGACACTCGGATCGGCTGAAGCTCCCGTTATTGGCGCTGCTGTTGGGATTTACTCTCTCTCGAAGGGCGTCAACCTTCTGTTGCATCATTGTCAAGCGTGATATCTTTGAACGGCGCTCACGGTCAAAACGAAGGGTGTCTGTTGCCCGGCGAGCCACCCGAGAGGCAAGCTCCAGCTCTGCCTCAAGTTCCTCCTTCTTTTGGTTGATGGCATTCATCTCGATGGCGTGTGCAAAGTACACCTGTGCCCAAGCAAGGTCCTCAGCATACTTCCCAAGGACATCAACCACCTCCTTGTATTTGCTGTCGTAGAGTTTTTCCTCCTTCTCCAGTTGTGTGAGCTCCTGTCGATGCATATTCGTCTCGTTCTCCAGTGTGGATATTTCAATGCGCATCTCACTGATTTTGTGGTCACTATAGAAGTCTCTTTGCGTGAGCTGCTGGTCGAGCGTCGCAATTGTCTCGTCTAGCCGTTTTACTGCCTCTAATTGTGACGACGTCACAGCGTGGGCGGCGCGTGTTCTTTCCAGCTGCAACGCACACTCCTGCTGTTCTTCCTGTATGCGTGCTTGGAGGTCTTTTATCTGGGCTTTCACCTCATGCGAAACCTCTTGACGGATGCTTTCCGTCTCTTCAAGTAACTTATCAAAGGTACCGTCAACATCACTGACATGCTCCGACAGCCACTTGGCGGCAGCACGATAAAAATCATAAACACCACGGGAGTGCTGCTCCGAGAGGATCCGTTCCCGTTGCATACGAAGATCCTCAAGTTTTTCCGCCGTGTCCAACAACCACTTGGGAATATTGATGTGCACAAGCATCAGGACTTGATGAATACGGCTAAGTGACTCCGCAAAACGCAAGGCATCGCACGCAGACTCGTGTAAATCCTGCCGTCCACTGATTGTTGTGATTGACATTAGTGTCACGTAGCCCACAAGTGCTGATTCAAGTAAGGTTGTTAACTTTGTATGCTTAAAATCGGGATCACCAGCATTTGAGAGACCCGCCACACGACGCACCGTTTCAATGAGATGAATAACTTCAGTGCAATGGGGTAGACGAAATGCGGCAACATCCACAAATGTTATTGTAGCCATTGAACGTCGCCCCGACGAATCGACCGGTCTGTAGATGTGAAACTGCACGATGCAGGATGTATCCATGTGCTTCTTAGTGGGTATCTGTACGGCGTTGGAGGCTGAATCGAGCAGACGCATTTGTGGTAATGGAGTAGACCCCAACGGCGGTGGAAACTCCACAATCGGCACTGGATTGCCGCTTACCGTCTCCAGCAACTGAGATCCACGTGTAATAAATGCCGAGTGCGTTACGGTCGCGCGAAACACTCCAGTTTCCTCCCCATCCGTCGTCTCTGTCACACGCCGCAGTAATTCTTCTGCGGCAAGCTCTATAATTCCTTTCTCGCTATGGTGCGGGCTGCCGTAGAGGGTTTGGCTACGGCCACTCTCACAGGGCCCGCTCACCAAGAAAAGGTAGCTCTGTCCCGCCAGGCAGTTCGACACACAGGGCGCGATAACTTCATGGTAGAAAATATCCGTTGGAGTAGCCCTGTGCACACGTGTGACGTTGAACGGGTCAGACCACTTATCTGTCTGCGCGTTCTTGAGGCGCAAAGAGGTGTAGCTGGAGGAAGTCGACGTGTACTCAAGGTGTGACATGAGACGAACATGGCTTTCTACGTTTTTCAGAATGTTCTTCACTGCTGGTCGCCGTGGTGAAGCGGGCGTCGGGCTTGGGGCCTTGCTCTGCTGGTCCATTCTCTTTGCCTTCACTCTCCACTTCTCACTTCTTCTTCTCCCTTGTGTATTTTCCCACTCTCAGTCTTTCTTTCTGTCTAACCCGCATGAGCACCATACAAAAATAAATAAATAAATAAACAGAAAAAAAGTGGAGGATAAATAATACTCATGCGTCAAATAATCACAAGGAAACCACGATCAAAAAAAAGGGGTTAAACAAATACATGATAGAATGTGCGGCACTTCCATTCTTCCATTCTTCCACCACAACCACACCGCCCAGAATCGCATAAGCATGAGGAAAAGAGGATATAACTTCCCAAAAGAGGTGTGCAAGTATGCCATTTGCTCGGTGGACAAATTCTCACAAACAGGGTAATACTTCCCTGATGAGTGCGGAGAGTTGGCAGTAAAGAAAAAAAAATACATCTCCCACATCCCACATCTTAAATAGGCTCTAGTTCCACAAATACAAACAGGGCTGTCCGGCATCCAAAACATCCAAGAAATACATACACGCACGCACACACAAAAAAACAAGATGTAGTCAAATGAAAGTCACTACTCAAACATGACAGTAGCCTAAGGCGTATGCCCCAGCCTCCCCGATGAAGGACGCTGATGCTTAGGGGTGTTGTTCGTCACTGGCACTGCCACCAACAGGGGTGAAGCCAGGCTACGTCGCTTTTTCCGCCGCCTGGATGAATCATCAACAAGTTCCTCGATTCCAGCATCGCTACTCCCTCTCGACCCGCGGCTTATGGTCAAACTTGCACTACGCAACTTACGTCGTTCTATTCCTGACCCCTTTGAACGGCCTCCACTGTTCAACCCTCCATCTCTATTTGGACGTCTGCTAAAGGGTGTGTGGCGCAACGCCGCACTTTGGCTTGAAAAAGGAGGATCACGCACTGGTGTGGTGTTACGGTGATGGATGAGGTGGCGAGAACTGTCGGGTGTCCTCGAATTTGCCAGGCCGGTGTTGGGCGTATTAGGCGCAGCCGGAACGGCATTTTGACGAATGGAAGCCGCTGCGCCCACATTCAGTGTAGGGCGGCTCAACCCTGTCGTCGTGCTGCTAGGAACTTGTCGGCTTCTTATTATTGCCGGCGCAACCAACCTATCAATTGGTGGCGAGGCCGGTTGGCTACAGCCACCAACTGTGGAGGCTGTCAACTGCATCAACCGGTGCTCAAGATATGAACTGCGTTCATGCAATTGCTCTTTATACCACTCCTCCATACGCAGCAGCCGCTCTGCCATTTCAACGGCCTTCAGCTGCAGTGTTTGAACGTCCTGAATCTGCAGGACATTCCCACCCAAAACATAACTGAGCTCCTCCGCGCGTCGAGGCAGATCAAAACCTAAACCACTTTCCTCGAATTTGGTAGTGGCACTAGAACGCCAAGAATGAGTGGGCGACCCATCATGGGGAATTCGAGGCACACTCTTGACAGTACTGCGGACACGCAGGGGCGTAGAAGAAAGCATTTCCTGTGGCGTTCGCATAGCCTCCATTCGATTACCCCCAGCAGCATTTTGTTCCCTAGATTTTCCACTCATCTCAAGAATGCTATTTATGTTCAGCTTCGGAATCATATTTGCGGGCTTTCCTTGACGCCAGCCTCCTCTTGTAATAAAAATTACCACAATCCCGCAGAAACACAAAATATATATATATTATTATAACGGTACTTCCAAATCCACGATCTCAGTAACCACAGGAACAAACACACCCACACAATCGGAACAAAAAAATAGAAATATATATAAAATAGGTAGAAAAAAACAAAAAAAATTCAGCATCCTTTCACTTCTTGCCACCAGCCTTCTTTCCAACGGGTGCAGTAGCGGCCTTCGCAGGTGCAGCAGCAGCCTTCGCAGGTGCAGTAGCAGCCTTCGCAGGTGCAGTAGCGGCCTTCGCAGGTGCAGCAGCAGCCTTCGCAGGTGCAGTAGCGGCCTTCGCAGGTGCAGCAGCGGCCTTCGCAGGTGCAGCAGCCTTCGCAGGTGCAGCAGCGGTCTTGGCAGGTGCAGCAGCAGCCTTCGCAGGTGCAGTAGCAGCCTTCGCAGGTGCAGCAGCAGCCTTCGCAGGTGCAGCAGCGGCCTTCGCAGGTGCAGCAGCAGCCTTCGCAGGTGCAGCAGCGGCCTTCGCAGGTGCAGCAGCGGCCTTCGCAGGTGCAATAGCAGCCTTCGCGGACTTCTTGCCAGAGGGAGCAGCGGCCTTCTTCGCAGCAGCTTTCTGCTTCGCGGCGGCGGCAGCGGCAGCATCTTCGCGACGCGCACGCTCGCGGTCCTTCTCGCGCTTACGCAGCTCCTGCTTGCGGGCCTTGTGACGGTGCTGCTCATCCTTCAGGCGCTTCGCCGCGAGCTGCTCAGCCAGCTGCCTTTCCTTCTTCTTCTCGTTCTTCACCTTGTGGATGTGCTCCATGAGGTTACGCTTGTTGCGAAACACGTTCCCCTTCGCCTTCACGTACAGCTCGCGGTAGATGTGGCGGTCAATCTTCTTCTCCTCGCGGTACTTGCGCAGCAGGCGGCGGAGAATGCGCAGACGGCGCATCCACAGCTCCTTGCTCGGCATGCGGGCTTCGCGGGTACCCTCGCGGCGCCCAGCGCCCTCGTGGCGGCCCATGCTCTTCGCCTCCTTCATGTGGCGCCAGCGGGAGCGCGAGTGCACCTTGACAGGCTTGCGAATAATCAGACCATCCTTGATCAACTTGCGCACGCTCTTGCGCGAGTTTGCATTGGAAATCTCAGAGGCCTCATTAGGGTCCAGCCACACACGGTGGCGACCGCAGCGGAGAATGTCCGCCGCCAAACGAGCCTGCAGCTTCAGCGACACCATTTGATGGGGAGGTTGAAGTACTGGATGCTTCTAGTTAAGGAATAATTGAAATTTCAAAAACGAAGGAAAAAAGAGACCGTAGGAAGCGGGAAAACAAAAAATTGAGACAAAATAAATTACAATAGAAAACAAACTCACAGGAACAAATATCCGCAAGTACCTGTAAAACTCTTTGAGTGCAGCAGTGTAGCCTAAGACATCGTCACCGTTGCTTGTTATAACCACCAACAACGCCACGAGTTTATGCCATATGAAGTCTTATCCTAATTCAGGTAAATGTACATAATTTTGGCCGTCGCAACCCTCAACGTCTCGATGTTTCCCTCCTCTCTACTAACGCAACATCGTTTTTGATGATTCTGCCATGTTACTACTCTTTCCCTCCTACACGCGCCTCTCCAGCAAATTAAAAGCAATAGAAATAGTGACACGGAAACGGCGCAACAGTCAAAGTCACTCCGAAAGAAATGCGGAAAGAGCCCTCATCCTCTCAGGGGCAAGCTGCTCCTGCAGCCTTTTATCTATCTCAGCTTGGTAAGAATTCGCCACATTACGCCGCACACGCGCCTGTTGATGTCGCTCTGCAAGCTCGACAGGCACGAGAGTTGCTCCATCAACCATCCGTGACGCAATTCGGTGCCGTGCCTCCTTGTCTAATGCCATCCCGATCTGATGACACTGGCTCTTCTTCAGCTCCTTCGAATCAAGGCCTTTACACTCACGTCGATGGTCGCAAAAGATGTCTTTGTGCAGATACACCCCGCACATGTCACATTTAAAATACTCCAGGTCCGCAGTGACGTGCGACATCGTCTCTCACAACGCCGGCCGTCAGTTCCATACAGCGGAGGTCACACGACAACACAGATCGTAGAGAAGACAAACAAAAAAATAAGAAAAAGGAAGGGGAAAAGGAAAAAAGGCACTAAAGAATACTTTGATCTACTATAATGTCACGAACACCACAAACCAACACAAACGCGGAAAAAAAGACCCTCAATACCCACTTCTTCCTCAGAAAATATAAAATACCAAAAAAAAAAACAAGTTGGTCGTACTAGTGCGCGCTTCACTTCTTGCCACCAGCCTTCTTTCCAACGGGTGCAGTAGCAGCCTTCGCAGGTGCAGTAGCGGCCTTCGCAGGTGCAGTAGCAGCCTTCGCAGGTGCAGCAGCGGCCTTCGCAGGTGCAGCAGCGGCCTTCGCAGGTGCAGTAGCAGCCTTCGCAGGTGCAGCAGCGGCCTTCGCAGGTGCAGTAGCAGCCTTCGCAGGTGCAGCAGCGGCCTTCGCAGGTGCAGTAGCAGCCTTCGCAGGTGCAGCAGCAGCCTTCGCAGGTGCAGCAGCGGCCTTCGCAGGTGCAGTAGCAGCCTTCGCAGGTGCAGCAGCGGCCTTCGCAGGTGCAGTAGCAGCCTTCGCAGGTGCAGCAGCAGCCTTCGCAGGTGCAGCAGCAGCCTTCGCAGGTGCAGCAGCAGCCTTCGCAGGTGCAGCAGCGGCCTTCGCAGGTGCAGCAGCGGCCTTCGCAGGTGCAGTAGCAGCCTTCGCGGACTTCTTGCCAGAGGGAGCAGCGGCCTTCTTCGCAGCAGCTTTCTGCTTCGCGGCGGCGGCAGCGGCAGCATCTTCGCGACGCGCACGCTCGCGGTCCTTCTCGCGCTTACGCAGCTCCTGCTTGCGGGCCTTGTGACGGTGCTGCTCATCCTTCAGGCGCTTCGCCGCGAGCTGCTCAGCCAGCTGCCTTTCCTTCTTCTTCTCGTTCTTCACCTTGTGGATGTGCTCCATGAGGTTACGCTTGTTGCGAAACACGTTCCCCTTCGCCTTCACGTACAGCTCGCGGTAGATGTGGCGGTCAATCTTCTTCTCCTCGCGGTACTTGCGCAGCAGGCGGCGGAGAATGCGCAGACGGCGCATCCACAGCTCCTTGCTCGGCATGCGGGCTTCGCGGGTACCCTCGCGGCGCCCAGCGCCCTCGTGGCGGCCCATGCTCTTCGCCTCCTTCATGTGGCGCCAGCGGGAGCGCGAGTGCACCTTGACAGGCTTGCGAATAATCAGACCATCCTTGATCAACTTGCGCACGCTCTTGCGCGAGTTTGCATTGGAAATCTCAGAGGCCTCATTAGGATCCAGCCACACACGGTGGCGACCGCAGCGGAGAATGTCCGCCGCCAAACGAGCCTGCAGCTTCAGCGACACCATTGTAGCGGAATGACCTGTTTCATTTGTGCATAAATCAGAAAAAAAAAAAAAAATTTTAAAGGGGGAGAAAAAGAATGTTTTTCTTTATCGGATAAAAAACACTTCGACGCATGAGCCACGCAGTTGGAGAATAGCGAGCCCCAGTTCCATCAAGAAAAAAAAATAAAGAAATTTTTATTTTTGAAAGTAATTGTATTGCAAATATATACATACATGTATATATGTACGTGTATGTTTCATTTCGCTTATTTTTAATCCGTAAGCTAATAATAATAATAATGTTGGAAGGAATAATAAAAAATCTACTGTAGATAAAGACAAATAGAGCGGCACGCAGAAAGAAATGCCGGCTTTCTTTGGTCAGCTCGTCAAATTAGTAGAAAATAACAAAACCACGCAAATAAATGGTGCTACTCCCCATTTTCAATGGCTCTAGCGGCAGCTGCGACACCAACACCACCAGCATCATCCCACTCGATACTACCACGAGCAATTATAACACGGCATTATTTACCCCCAATATTTATCCTTACTCACCGAGGAGTGAAACCCCCATGAATTCATCATCATCACTATCACTACTATTATCACTCGTGTTATCTATTTTGCCTGTTTTACGTCTTTTTTGTAGTTCGGCCGTGACCCCCTCATAATACAACTCGTTGGGAAAAAGCTTCACGCGCATGTGATTTTCCGTTTCGTTGCCTTCGCTTGCGAAACGCAATGAAAACTGCCGCACAGCCTCTGCTGCCCCTTCATGTCCCGCAAACTCCACAAAGAAATGTACGCAGCCCTTCCCGTCCTTCCCACCACGCCGCTGTCCAAATATAAAGTAAGAAACAACCTTCCCGTACTGGCAACACTCCTCCAAGTACAGAAGCGCCATTGATTTGCTGTTACTTTGAGCGTCGCAAAACAACGAGATGGTTGGAGCAATCTGGCGAAAGGAGAGAACAGTGCGCCGTGACTGACATCTAGAAACGGCAAGAAATTTATGCAGTGGAAAAGATGATGACCCTTCCACCTCAGACGATGCTTCTTGAGCAAGCTGACGAAGGTGTGCCAGGTTTGTGAGTGTATCCACCATTTCCAGATCCGTGTTTTCTTTCTTTGCTTCCCCTGCTTCCTCTTTCTCTTCTCCATCCTCAGTAGCAAAGCGCAAAAACAGCGGTTCCTGAGAAATAGACTTTGCCGTGGCAGAAAAAACACGATTTAACATCACAGCACCAGAAACCACACGATCGATTGAACCGCGCTGGAAAAGACACTGTACAACACTTCCATCAAATATCTGCCCGGAGAGCTCATCTTCCAAGTGACGCATCAGCAGTGCAGTCCTTGACGGATGTGCGGCACCATCGCCTATGGGTGTAATGATGGCTACTGTCTCCGCCATGAACCATGTCCTCTCATTTTTTACAGAGTATTGGTCCGGGCCTATGCATAAGTATGCCAACTGTACGTCTATGACAAAAGTTCTGTGGTTTTCGTTTGCGTTAGGAGATGATTTTGCTTCAAACCTTGACCAAAAATTTTGAGCACGTCGTTTTGTCTCTGCTGCAAATTCTTCAAAAGCGGCTGCATCAAGCATTAACCGAGAGTGTGAAAGGGCGTTGTGCACCACCAATCGAGGACATTCCCTCTTGGATTCCTTCTCAATAGCTACACCATGATCATGTTCATCTCTCACACGCTTGCGAGGAGCGTCGGTCACAAGATCGCCGTTTTTGTCAGGGTGAACCAGGGGTTGTTTCATGGAAATTCGTACAACCTCATTTTTATTCCTGCCATCTCCACGCCTGTCACGTAAAGCAAGCAGTATTTCAAAGAGATCCTTTCCTTTCCCACATCCACCAACCAAACAATACATCTGACATCTTTGTGGGAGCCCACTAAAACTGATAGAGCCATGTCTAGTTCCGTGAAGAATTTTATTCCTTACTGGCTTGGGCCTCGGTAACACAGGCCTTTTGTGTTCCATAAATAACCGCTGCAGCATTGGTCCGTATCCCAAAGCATGCTGCAGGTCCAGATCCACAAAAAACAGTTGGACAACAAAATCTAGCGAATATGGTCTCCACCGCGTTGATGACGCCGTCCAACGCGAATCGTGCGAGACCTGATAGAGAATTTCTTCAAGACCATCAAGAGTGCCAAGTAAACTCAATTTTGCCACGCTCTCCCAGAGCGGCACGGTGCCCACAACAATATCCGCCCTTTTTCCACTTGGCATAGGAGGGTACGCCCCAAACAAGTTGTGCGTAACTAAATGAAGGGCAGATCCAAAACGATCAAGCAATACGTATAACTCATCACACTGATCCTTTGTGGCACAAAGCACCAAAGCTTGGGGTCCTTGTTCACTCTCCAGCATCGGCCGATGTGATACATGCAGAACGATAGAAAGACACATGGCGCAGAGAGCCTCAACTTTTGAGCAGCAGTGTTCAGCAGCAACTTCAAACATGTTGGCATCATCCAAAGAAGCCAACTTTCGCCGTAGAGATACTTGCGCTTCCAAAGAATCTTCTGACAAACTAACTCCAGTTCCTTTCAAATCCAGAAATATATCTTCTCCGTGAAGCGCATTTAAATAGCAATTCCAAAACCAACTGCCACCAAACCCCAGCATTGCTTCGTACCGAGGAATCATCTCTTTCAATATTGGTATAAAAGATGGGGAGATGCAATTCTGCTGAAAAACCTGTGAATTTGTTAATAGTTGGCACCCGCCTTGCACATCCACCATGGGAATGCCGCAAGCGTTGGCGGGTGGTGAATCGCATGACTTCAAAAAAACGCCTGTCATTGGCCTTGTGCCTTACTTAAGATTATAGCTTAGAAACATCGGTGGTTGTCAAGAAGAAATGTTTCTTCATGGACGTTTAGTACGTTTAACGTTTCGTTCGTTGTTTGTTGTGTATAAATTTGCAGTCCGTCACCGCGGCTATTCGTGATATTGTTGGGTATTTTAAAGACAATCATCAAAAGGATTAAATAGACCCACTCAAAGGAAATGCGATATCGCAACTTATATATATATGTACGGATACATCACCAACAAAGACGCATTGCACACGCACACGTCCACACACCTATTCCATACCCACTGGCCAAAAATCATTCTATAAAAAACACACGCCGCTGGCTCCAAGCCAATAAGACTCATTCACTAAATTTTGCCACCCTATCAATAATTTACAGCCACGACAACACTGCAAACCACAACAGTAACAGAAAGAATCCAAACTGCATGCGCCCACACAACGTTTGGCGTAGAAAAATCATCCACTTCACTGCAAGAATCGACGTCTTTCGGTTCAGCCACAATGCGAGAACATGCATGCTCTTTCAATGCAAACTTTGCAGGACGCAATCTGCTTTGTAGTCTCATTTTGGAACCAGAACTAAGAAGAGCGGCGCAGGTCCTCAGAGAATTCACATCCCCTTCCAATTCCTTCGATATTTTATATTGACTTAAAGTAATGGCATTCTGGAGTGCCGCTGTTTTATCAGGATGAATATACCTGCAACGCGAGCCATAGTTACATCTACCACTCATGAACTGTGCACAGACATCGGCACCGATACGTGACTTAGCTACTTTCTCAGCAAATAGAAACTTCTTCGTCCTCTTCGTCGCTTGATTCGCAGCGCCACCAGTATGATCCGAAAAAAGCCAGGAGTGCGCCGACAGCTGCTCCTTATACTTCTGCTTTTCCTCCTCCATGTCACCAATCTTGCGCAAAAGTCCCAAGTGAAATGGGTTATTCGTCGGATCGGGACACCCTAGTGCATTATATCGAGTTGCAAGCTCTATTTCCCCAGCATCATGGGAAGCTACCATTGTATCGTCCAAGCGGACGAACAAAATATTCGGGTTGGTGCAAACAAGACGAAACACAGCCTTAATGGTGGCGTTTCCACCTCGCGTGCCTGATAGATCCAAGGCCCGGATGCAGGGATGACCCTCCAATGCACGGCAAAGTGGCACAAGCGACACATCAGAAACGTCAAGGTACCTTATCTGAAGTGAAAGAATGGAGCTGTTGTGCTTCACCGCAGCAGCAAAACATATCAAGTCGTAATCACCAAATTGCGACAGGCCATCATAATCCTCCAAGCTAACGCTTTGTGCAACATTTTGCACAGTTTGCTGAATAAGAACATTGATGTCCATGCCGGGCTCAAACTCCTCAAACTCGTACGCATTCAGAACCTCACCCCCTCCCTCACTTGACCCGGTAGAGCACTCACTACCCGAATCCGCAAGATATTGATCATAAAGTACCCTCCTCCTCTTCTTTTTCCTCTTTCTTTTGGCTGTCGCAACCCCGTCTGCTGGGGGAAATATCTTTTGCAATAACACGGAACCTTCGTCTGCCGCGGGGCATTCAGCATTCCGCCACATTGAAGCTACCACTTCAATAGACATTAAAAAAAAAAAAAATCGGAAAAAAAAACAGCCAATGCGTAACTTTGCACGAGCCACCCATGGGACGGTGCAAACCAAAAATTAGCTCATGGCATAAAACCAATGCACCAAATCGGTAAAAAAAATTTTGCTTCACTTTGATTACGCAACTACAACAATTTCTGAAAATGTTTTTGTGCTTAGTCTTACTGAAAAAAAATAATCTTCCGAGACGCAGGAAGAATCCTGAGCTTATCAATAATAAAAAACAAACAACATAGAAATAAGAATAATCTTCTGGGCCGCTGGCTGGATCCTGAAATTATTTACAAAAATCAAACAAGATAGAGAAAAAGGGGAGTATCGAAGATGCAGTTAATTGCCTCCGTGTTTCCCTCCTATAATATATATATATATATACTGTTGACCGCTCACGTGGCCTTCGCACTCAGGGAGTGTATGAAATATTATTGCTTACGACGTGGCAGACTTTGGGCTCCTCCAACCACAAGACCCCGCCGCAGGGTTGGAGTCAAAAAAGGGGGTTAGACGGCAAAAACAATAAAATTCATCCTGCCGTCATCGTTTCCTTGACTCCTCCCATCGCGGTCTTCCAAGGAACCCTAAGATGGGAAAGGACCGCACAGAAACATATTCGTCTTATCAGAACATATTAAATTAGGTCGCCCGCATTCTCGCGGACATTCTTTTCGCACGCCCCCAATAATAAAAACACACACACCAAACATATTCAAGAAAAACACATTCAAAAAAAAAATAAGATAAATAGGAAATAAAAAATAAAAAAACATCGCGCTCCTCCCGTTTGCTTTGCCCTTCCTCTCGGATCCAAAGCAGGGCATGCATCATCGGTTCACCACTGGGAACCCGAATTGCATCGACCCGTAGAAGACACGAGGTCCTCCCTCCATTTCTGGCGTTATGTTAGTAGTGTATTCGGTTAATTGCGGTAATCAATCATCCCCAGCACCCATCCCGCAATTCCTCTTATGCTTTGCCGGTTTTCCGTTTCGCCTCCGCACACATCATCCCACCAGCTGTCTCCCTGCACATATTTCCCCAGTATTTCTCATGGCGGACGCTTTTTTTTTTTTTTTTTTGCTCTTGTCTTCGCTCGCCCGCAGTGCCCCCCAAACATCCCACTTCCCTCCCTAACAATGCTGCCGTACCCATGCAATTATCGTTGCCTTGCATTCGCCCTGATCCCAGAATTCACTCAAAATTTACCTCGTTTTGCCCCGTTATGTATGTTTATGTTTTATTTATTTATATATATGTATGTATTCATATATTATTTTGCTTTTTCACAGCAACGTTTGCCCTCCTCCACGCTGCCGCCGCATTTCGCCTCATACTCCGACAGTTTTTTCTTTGCCTCTTCCAGCTGCGCCTCCAGCGACCCGTAAGTTGGGCGTGTCACTTCGCCCTCCTCCAGGCCGTTCTCCACCAGCCAATTCTTGTCCGGGAACTTTGTCATGTAGTTGCGGATGCCATCCGGGAATACCACAACGCACCGCTGGTCAGGACGAAGATCTTTCGCTGCCTGCAGCACACCCCACATGGCGGCACCACTGCTCCCTCCGACGAGGAGCGCCTCTTCGCGGTGAACCTCCGACGCCAGCGCAAAGCTTTCCTTGTCAGCGGACTTCACCCACCGATCAACGTACTTCCGTTCGCAGACATCTGGCACAAAATCGTACCCGATGCCCTCAACGAGGTACGGCTTCGGATCCAGCGGTACCGAGGGATCGGCCAAAATGCTCCCGTACGGATCGACGCCGACAATGACAATGTTGGGCAGCAATTCCTTCAATCGCCTTGCCACTCCGGCCATTGTGCCGCCCGTCCCAGTGGTGAACACCGCCATGTCAACCTTTCCACCGCACTGATCGTAAATCTCCTGAGCCGTGCCTTCGTAGTGCGCCTTCGGATTGCTTGGGTTCCGGTACTGGTCCAGCAACACGTAGCCCTTCTCCTTCTCCAGACGCCGAGCCATGCCAATGAGACTATCCGGGTGATCCCATGGCAATGCGGTCTCCGTTCGAATCACCTCTGCTCCCAGGGCCTGGAGGGTCACCTCCTTCTCATGTGACATCTTTTTGGGCATGGTGATGATCATGGGGTATTTCTTCACCGCAGCCACCAGACTGAGCCCGATGCCCGTGTTCCCACTTGTCGCCTCAATAATTGTTTGATTGGGGCGCAGTCGGCCACTCGCCTCTGCGTCCAGAATCATTTGCCGAGCAATGCGGTCCTTGACGCTGCCACCGGGGTTGAGGAATTCACACTTTGCAACCACATCGCAGCACACGCCGTGTTTCTTCGGCACGTGATTGAGTCGGATGCAGGGGGTGGAGCCGATGGCGTCGAGGACGGTGTCAAGAATGCATGTTCGCCTGTCGGGCACTTCCTTTTTGTTGTTTACTGCTGAGGGGTTCTGAGCCATGATTTGGACGTCTTCTCTACCATTCGGGATCACAAACAATAACAACAACATGGTGAAGAGAAAGGACAAGTGGTGAAAGCAGCCATTTCGTGGCGGTGCTGGGGGTTGCCGCTCCCCACTCCTAGAAAGCGCGGGCGCGAGTCACGCAAATATTCGCCCGGGCCGCTGACCAGACACCAGACTTTTCCATAAAAATAAAATGGGACGGGAAGGAAGGGGTGGTGGAGAGACAGTGACTTCGCCGCGTCCCCGTTGTTCGCTCCAATTATATATACATTTATTCGGCTGGCCGCCACCGTGACGTGCTGCAGACTCTGCGGAGTGGAGATATTATTAGTTACGAGGTGGCTGAGTTCAAGTTCCTCCAACCACAAGACCCCGCCGCAGGGTTGGAGTCAAAAAAGGGGGTTAGACGGCAAAAACAATAAAATTCATCCTGCCGTCATCGGTTCCTTGACTCCTCCCATCGCGGTCTTCCAAGGAACCCTAAGATGGGAAAGGACCGCACAGAAACATATTCGTCTTATCAGAACATATTAAATTAGGTCGCCCGTATTCTCGCGGACTTTCTTTTCGCACGCCCCCAATAATAATAATAAAGCATATCCAATTAAAACAACTAAACAAAAAGGGGGTAAATAAGAATGTCATGATTTTATGCAAACCCGACAATCATCATCATTATCTCGTGCCGCACCAGCCAAATGACACCTAACCGCACACATCGTGAATGGACCTGTTTTTTTTTTTCTTACGGCTTTTTGCACCATCTCACTGCAAGCAAAAAGGAAAAATATTTTTGCTTAGGGCTGTAGCATTTTTGTATTTCTATTTATGCTCGTTACATAGCATCAATGCATCAAATCGGTCATAAAGTTTCGCTTCACTTTCATTACGCTACTAAAACAATTTCTAAGAGCAGTTTTTTGCTAAGGCTTATTGAAAAACAGAAAATAAAAATATATTTAAGGGGCGCTTAATTAATCATAAAAACGAAAAACATATATATGATATATAATGATGTTCTTGGCGGCCAACCCCCAAGCAAAGTCATGTTCGCATATCATTGCTCTATATTTCGACACTCTATGACAAATCGCCAAATTTCATCCAGTTTCTCTCATGAAAGGACGATATCAAATCCAACTCCGGGGACTCAATGCAAACACAAGAAGCAAACAGCCTTGCCGAAACTAGATAAGGATCAGCATCGCCAGCAGGTCTCCGATCCTCCATATATCCCTTTCGCTCCGCCGCAACAGCGTTGGGGATGCGAATCGACGTACCCCTCGTACCAACTCCAGCGGTGACCTCGTTTGGCTTTGAAGTCTCGTGTTTCCCCGTTAACCGTTCGTTGTTTTCAGCTCCATACAAAACGATATCCTTTGAAATTGTTTTCTTTAACCTCTCCACGTATTCGTAAATCACGCGCAATCCATTCTCATTCCGGGTCGAGGCCGTAGAAAAATTGGTATGAAGCCCGCTGCCATTCCATTCGCCCCGAATGGGTTTTGCACGATAGTCAGCATCCAATCCATCATCTTCTAGAATCCGTAGTAATACCCACCGCGCCACAGTCAACTGATCCCCCATTTCAATGCCCTCGCAGGGACCCACTTGAAACTCCCACTGGCCTGGAGCGACCTCCGCATTTGTGCCAGAGATATTTATCCCCATCTGTAGACACACTTCATAATGCAAGTCAACATAGCGCCTCCCATGAACACACAGGCAGCCTGTAGAGCAGTAATATGGTCCTTGTGGAGCCGGAAATCCTCTCGGCGGCCAACCATATGGATGTCCATCCTTAATCAGGAAAAACTCTTGTTCCATTCCAAACCAAGGATGTTCCTCAGGCGCACGCTCAAATATGCGACGCGCCACAGCACGCGAGTTGTCATTTGTTGGCTCGCCATTTGGCAAATAGCATTCGGCCAAAACAAGAATCCACGGCACCGTTGTCGAAAGTCGGGGAAGACAGCAGTGATATGCGTTAACTGGATTGAGAAGAATCTCCGTGTCTGCGCCAAGAGCCTGTTTCGTGGAAGAGCCATCAAAATTCCAGACGGGGAAAATGCCGTCAGCAAGAAGCTCCTTCGGATGCTTTGCCACCTCCTCGGTCGTCAAGTACGCTGTTCGGTCCTTACTTCGAATGTCATGGTGAGAATCCCTGCCAGAGAGCCAGACATACGTTAATCTGCAAGCGATTCTTTTCTCCGCCAAGCCTGACATCCTTTTTTGTTGTTGTTTTTGTTTTTGGAGCTTCAAAGCTGTAAAAAAAAAAATGTATAAATATATAAATTGGTTAGAAGCCTTTTCATCCCAATAAGGAACTTTTTCATTTATATATTTTATACGGCTCTTGGAGGCAAAAAGCGTCACCCGAAACAGCATTTCTTCTCTCTCCCTCCCCCCCCCCCAAAAAAAAAAAAAATTATTTATCACGCGTTCATCGAAAAAACGATGCTCATTGTCGATTAACAATCGACATAAATCTCAAATCAAATTCCAAAACAAAATGCACCCAATCCAGCAATACTAATTCCTTTCAAAATTTATAAGCAGTAAATAAACAACAATAGTACCCCTTTACCGATCCACAGATGCGAAAAGAATAATCTTCTGGGCCGCTGGCTGGATCCTGAAATTATTTACAAAAATCAAACAAGATAGGGAAAAAGGGGAGTATCGAAGATGCAGTTAATTGCCTCCGTGTTTCCCTCCTATAATATATATATATATATACTGTTGACCGCTCACGTGGCCTTTGCACTCAGGGAGTGTATGAAATATTATTGCTTACGACGTGGCAGACTTTGGGCTCCTCCAACCACAAGACCCCGCCGCGAGGTGGGGATCAACAGGTGGTGGGTGGGTGGCAAAATAAAAATAAATTATCTTGCCTCTGTCTGCTCCCGGATGCCCTTAAAGTCGCATTCTTCCCAAAAGATTCATACGGTAGAAAAGCGTCGTACAGAAGAGCATTAGTTCTATCAGGATATATGTGCATACATATATACATTAATGAAGGCAGCCAGCTCTCCCGCGATCATTCGCTTCACAAGCCCCTAAAAAAAATGCGCCCGCATGTTGATATATTCGCGAATCCCTACAAAAAGAGGGAGCACACAACAGTGGAAGGCCACATGCTTTTTTGGCTATGCCCAACATTCCCCAACCAGAAAGCGATGTGCCCAACACCCTTAAACTAGAAAAGAAAATAAACCCACAAAAAACATGGATGACAAGCGGGACCCCCGCTAAAACAATGGCAGGCCTGAGTGTCCTTCAACCGCCCGCCCCCTCAGCGTGGAAAGCCGTAGAGGATGGGTTGGGGTGAAAAAAAAAACTCTCCTACTGCCCTCCAAGTTCGTAGTTTAGAAGACAAAAAGCAGTTGATACGCGAAAGAAAAGTTTGGTTGAAGAATAAGCGCCATCATCTCCAAAACCCCATCTGGCGGAAAACTTGTTTCAAGAGCCAACTGAACAACAAAAAAAAAAAAAAAATGGAGACTCCTTTATGATTTTCTAGTGATAATAATAATAATAATAATAATAATAATAATAATAATAATAATGGGATAGTAATAAAACCAAAAAAATATCAATAGATCAATCAGATTCTTTAATATATTGGAATCCATTCAAAGATATGAGTTGTGAATATTCCACGTTTATTTCCATCCCCATTTTTCCTCGTTGTTCTCTGTGTCTGTAGGAGAATAATGTGTCTCACCACGTAGACGTTACATGCTGCATCGAATTCCATGCGATTTCCCCCAGACAAAGAGATAACTCCCTTTATCTTATAAGCGAGCTCCAGGTGATCCGCAGTAAGCGTCCAAATAGAAATTGCACCCATTCACACTCGGGTCCTCTTCTAACTGTCAGTTATCATCAGGATCGCCAGATTACACAAACAAGTTTTTCCCAAATCCACGTTTGTGAGATAAAAAAATTTACTGGGGACTCTAACATTAGCCGATGATCAGACCTCCGGAAATTTCGGCCAGACATTAGTCAAATAAAAATAAAAATAATAATTTGAAAAAAGCACCAACGGCAATCAAAAAAAAAAAAAGAAAAAAGAAAAAAAAACATAAAGTTAACCGAAATTTGTGCACTTTTTTCTATTCCGCCCCATTCCAATGCAAATGCCCTTTAAAAAGTATTGCAAACTGTCAGCAATTTGCGTAATCGTTATTACCCAACGCAGGATATGTGCCAATACCAGTGAAGCCTCGTTCACTCCAAAAAGAACAATAAGTTGGTTATAAAAAAAAAATAACAATAATTCCATTCAAGAACAAGATAACCTTTTAAAAAGGTGGCACAGCAATAACACATCGCCATGCGCGCCGTGGACGCATGTTCGACCAATTGTGGTACAAGATGCTGTGTTTATGCCTCCTGGAAGAACGATAAACATCAGGAGATTGTTGAGAATTGCGGAGAAAGCAGCCCTTTCTAAAACTCCAAGTGTATTCAAGAGTAACATGGCAACACCAAATGCCAATGCTTCAGCAACAACGAAAAGAGAAACGGAACTAACAAAGATATTCTTTCAAATCATCCGCTTGCAACGCTTCCTAGACACAAAGATTACCCAGCGCTTGTCGATTTCATCTCAAAAATTTTCCCGGAGTTATAATTAAGGCAAGCTCTATCCAAGCCACAATATTGATTCCTAGCATAGCTCCACGAGCGCCTCAATTCACCAAAAAGTGCTGAACTAGTGGAATCACAACAACACCCACTACGGGTAATCAAAACTTAAGCTGAATAAAACAGAGTCTAGAAATCTCGCAAGGCAACCAATGAAATGATTTTAAAAAGTTCAAAAAACCCATAAAATCAGAGGCAATTTCAAATATCTTTTCCCGTGGCATTTTGGTAGAGCAGCTTGTATCAAATAATAATAATAATAATAATAATAATAATAATAATAATAATAATAATAATAATAATAATAATAATAATAATAATAATAATAGGATAGTAATAAAACCAAAAAAATATCAATAGACCAATCAGATTCTTTAATATATTGGAATCCATTCAAAGATATGAGTTGTGAATATTCCACGTTTATTTCCATCCCCATTTTTCCTCGTTGTTCTCTGTGTCTGTAGGAGAATAATGTGTCTCACCACGTAGACGTTACATGCTGCATCGAATTCCATGCGATTTCCCCCAGACAAAGAGATAACTCCCTTTATCTTATAAGCGAGCTCCAGGTGATCCGCAGTAAGCGTCCAAATAGAAATTGCACCCATTCACACTCGGGTCCTCTTCTAACTGTCAGTTATCATCAGGATCGCCAGATTACACAAACAAGTTTTTCCCAAATCCACGTTTGTGAGATAAAAAAATTTACTGGGGACTCTAACATTAGCCGATGATCAGACCTCCGGAAATTTCGGCCAGACATTAGTCAAATAAAAATAAAAATAATAATTTGAAAAAAGCACCAACGGCAATCAAAAAAAAAAAAAGAAAAAAGAAAAAAAAACATAAAGTTAACCGAAATTTGTGCACTTTTTTCTATTCCGCCCCATTCCAATGCAAATGCCCTTTAAAAAGTATTGCAAACTGTCAGCAATTTGCGTAATCGTTATTACCCAACGCAGGATATGTGCCAATACCAGTGAAGC